GAGAAGAGAGAAATCAATAATGTCTGATAAGGAGAGTGGACTCACTTTTTTCTGGTTATGTGTTCCAATTCATAGTATCGGAGTAGATATAAATTTTTTTCTTATATATGGCTACATTGGTACTATTTGTGCTTCTTATCATGATTTTATAGCTTATTTTGGGCGACAGGTTCTTTGTTACAACTGTTTTGTGATCTATATTAGGCAAGGCGCAGGGCTGTGGTTCCATCTCTTCATAAACGGTACTTGTCTGTTATAGTGGATAGGGTGTTTTGTAGATGTGCTGAGAGATTAGTGGAGAAGCTACAACCTGATGCACTCAATGGAACTGCTGTTAACATGGAGGAGAAGTTTTCACAGTTGACTCTTGATGTTATTGGTTTATCGGTATTCAACTATAACTTTGATGCACTCAATGCGGACAGTCCTGTTATTGAGGCTGTTTACACTGCATTGAAAGAGGCAGAGGCTCGATCGACTGATTTTTTACCATATTGGAAGGCAAGTTAACCTTACATTCGTGACATGGATTTTCTTTGTCCATTCTTTATATCCATGACATGGGTTTTCTCTTCCTTTGTTGTTGCAGTTTAAATTTCTTTGTAAGTTAATTCCAAGACAAATAAAGGCTGAAGAGGCTGTTAGCGTTATCAGGAAAACTGTTGAGGATCTTATTGAAAGATGTAGAGAGATTGTAGAATCTGAGGGGGAAAGAATTGATGGTGAGGAATATGTGAATGATACTGATCCTAGTATCCTCCGGTTCTTGCTTGCCAGCAGAGAAGAGGTTTGCTGTATTCCTGTATTTTATTGCTGGCATACATTATGTTTTTATGAGTGTTCTTGTGACTGACGCTGTATACTTGAAATGTGTATAATAAACACTTGTGACGTATGAAAGTAATTTGATATGAATTAGACGAAATATAAAGTTGTCTTTTCTTGTTGATTGTAGATCTATTGACTCTTCGGAAATGATAACAGACAGTGGTATGGATGAAGTGATTAGTAGTGTATTGATTTTATGGATACATAAATGATTTTCAGTCAATACTGAACATTCTGTTCAAGGTAGTTTAGCCTGTGATGTTGATTGACTGTAACACAATCAAGCAGTTTTGTTCCTGTATTTCTTTGTTATTAACTTAAAAATGTTCATTTCTTGCCATGTTTTTTCTCATTCATTATGTTACGTTTTGAGAAGTACTTGAACCATCTTAAAAATTTTCAGATTTCTAGACTTTATTCCTTAAGGAGATGAATTTGGATTTTCATTTTCCACTTGTGTGGTTGCACTTACTGCTCAATATATGAGTATATCTGCATAATTTAGTTGCACTCCCACCCAAATATGAAGATTTGCACTGTCTCCACTTCTTAGAACATGCCATTATCACTTAATGATGATGCTTTTAGTTGTTTTTCTGGGTCATTGATTGATTCAATCATCTCAACCTTGTATAATATACTTTTATAGTTATAGGACAGAGAACTTTTTCCTTTGGATCTTTGTTCTCCATGCTTATTTTTATTTGATTGTTCCACATGTAGGTTTCCAGTGTGCAATTAAGGGATGATCTTTTGTCGCTGTTAGTTGCTGGTCATGAAACCACTGGTTCAGTGCTGACCTGGACACTTTATCTTCTAAGCAAGGTATTAATTTCACCTCATTTCTTCCCATTCTCATCTGTAGCAACGAGTTGCTGTTGCATATTTCTGATGGGGCAGTGTGGAGAATTGATTATGTGCATGATTCTCATGATCCCACTACATAGTTTCTAATTTTCCTTCTGAAGCTTACACTAATCATCCAATTACAGTTCTGTTCCTTTTTGAGTCCTCTAAACTAATCCAGCTGTTAATATGAACACTTGGAAATTGTAGAACTACCTTAACCTGAAAGAATTGTTCAATTACCTAAACCTTCTAATTATTTTTATTTTCAGCTTCCAGCTGGATTAGTACTTTGTGAACATTTATGATTGATATTTTGGATTTACTCAGCTTTGTACATGTCTGAATATAATAATGTACTATAGTTAGAAAAACACGAGCTTTGGATTTACTCAGATTTATTTATGCAGGATTCTTCCTCATTGGCAAAAGCACAGGAAGAGGTAGACAGAGTTTTACAGGGAAGGCGTCCTGCCTATGAAGATATTAAAAATCTTAAGTTCTTGACATGCTGTATTATTGAGTCACTTCGTCTCTATCCACATCCTCCAGTAGGTTGCAATATTTCTCAATATAATGATTCATAGTACAAGCATTCATTTCAAATGAAAAAAATATCATATCATCTCTGTATGACAGTTCTACCCTTGTGATAGTTTATGCTTGTTATGAAAATTAGTTAGTACACTGACATACAAAATTGACAGTTAAACTTAATTCTAATGATAGCACTAGTGTGATAGGGGAAGAAATTGAAAATTTGGTATAATGATCCTCATTGTTGAAATTTCTGAAAACCAGTGGCTTCTGGGATTTGAGACTTTGGTAGTGGAACCTTAGGTGAAGAGTCTAAAACCCCAACCTGTTTTCAGCATTGTAGTGTGCATTTGAAGCTTCTTTCTGTCCAGTTCTCTCTTTTCACCTACATGTGTCACATCACATGATCAGTTATCTTATTCTCTGGGCTTCATTTTTTCTGTCATTACATTGAGGAGTAGAAAGGTGAAAGTTGTCTGGCCTTGGGCCATCAAAACAATTGCAGTTTAGCCCAATTTAATCTAGTCACAGGTTGACCACGATCTCTCCAATATCAGAGAACAAGCTTAAATTCAACAAACCAATATTCTAAGGTCTCACATTGAAGAAGGCTAACTAAAAGTCTCAATGCTAAAGTAAGAAAAAAGTTGGAGATATTATGAATTAAACTGTCTTTTTTTCAGATTATTTTATGGCATGTCTTACTTCCATACAAAAATCAATATTTAGGAGAAAAATCTTAACTCAAACAGAAATTCTAAATTCTCATGTAGTAAGTAAGCACTTTAAAATATCATTATAATATCTCTGAACAGTTTAAGTTCACTGCTGTGTGTCTTATTTTTCTCAAATACACTTTTTGGAGTTGGTGTTGTCAGATATGTTTCACCGATGTTACAATTTCTGTTTTTCTTATATAATCTTGTGCATCCTTAAGGTGTTGATAAGAAGAGCTCAAGTTCCTGATGAGCTTCCAGGTGCTTACAAAGTCAATGCTGGTCAAGATATTATGATTTCTGTATACAACATACATCGTTCTTCTGAGGTATTTACTTTCTGTGGCCAAATATGTATACCTTTGTTATGAAATTTGGTTATAGAATTTTTTGTTATTAGCCTTGTTCAGTACTAGTTAGCTGAATAATCAGCAGAGGAGATCCTTTGTTTACGCTGTGCCTAAAAGCGTAACTTACTATGGCCTCTTGTGCGACAAACCGCGTAAACAAGTGATGAAAAGCGAAGAAAAATATATTATAGGAACCAAACAAAAAATTACTACTTTTATAAGAACTAAAAACAATGATCTCAATTTTAGAGCAATAATAAGAAAGATATTTTTTTAAAGGAATTAAAATCAAAGTTCTCTAATTTTTTAATGATTAAAACATATTTTAAGCCTTAATATTATTTATTTGTTTTTAATTGAATAATTTGAAATGGTTAGAACCCGTTTGGTTCTATTTCAAAATGAATTTCCTATTCTTGTTCCCTTTTATTTTGATTAACAGGATTTTAGAGAGCATATAAAAGTTGTCCACTAGATATGATATGCTAGTTTAATTTAGATTTTTTATTCAAACATTATTTGTCCTATCTTCGTTCATTTACTACGGTGATTGGAGCTGATCTGTACTGTTTTATTTAATGTCGTTTGGTAGATTAAATCTAATATGCAAGTTGTTGCACGGCCTGAATGTTATTGCTGGCTTTCTAAATTCACTATTTTGATCTAGTCTGTTAACTTCATAACTTTGCAAGGTTTGGGATAGGGCTGAAGAGTTTGTTCCAGAAAGATTTGATTTGGATGGTCCAGTGCCAAATGAAACAAATACAGACTTCAGGTTTGCATTATTGTTACAGTAGTAATTTTTGCTTTCAATATTGACAGAAATTACGCCTCCACTGTGGTAGCTAGTCATGCAAACGTACTAGCTAGTGGCTCTTCGCTACCCTCCTCCCCCAACCTATTCAGTAGTGTACCCTACCATTTTTAGGTTTTTCCTGAAGGGATGGTTCATTCTGGTTATATCTTCTGTTGTATTTTTTGTTGTATATCATAGTTCCTCAGATTTTATGAATCAAAACATGTTGCAGATTCATTCCATTCAGTGGAGGGCCCCGCAAGTGTGTTGGTGATCAGTTTGCTTTATTGGAGGCGATAGTTGCTCTTGCAATCTTTATACAGCACATCAACTTCGAACTGGTTCCTGATCAGAATATCAGTATGACTACAGGAGCCACAATACACACAACAAATGTAAGCTTATCTATTCGTGTCTTTTAGATGGGTTTCTACATTAGGCTTGTTTTTATGCTTTGATTTGAAATCTAAATGTTTGCAAGAGGGGAATGAGAGCAAAGAAAAATGCTATATTGTTTAAGTCTTCTCAAGCATCACTTACATTTGACCAATATTTCTAGGCTTCAACTTTCTGGACCTTGTAAAAATCAAGTTGCATTCTTTTTCCATAATGAAAAACTGCCTCTTATTGATAGAGGGTGCATAAAGAATTATCCTATTGTGTACTGTGTACTAATAGAATTTTATTGTGCAGGGCCTGTACATGAAACTGAGCCAACGGTTGACATAGTGTTAACGCTTACTATCAGCTTATCAAATTCTTTTGATCATTTTCTCATTTTTGGCTAGTTAATATACCCCAAGGTATCAGTAAATATGTATTTGATACAAGTTATTTTCCACAGCCAAATTATATACTCATATTTTCCAAAATGTTGTAAAGTTTAATTGAATTACTAAGTGAAGAACTAGTGGAGAAGTCCCAATCATGAGCTTTTGTTTGGTTGGTTTGAAAAACTTTTAGATTATATTACGGAAGTGAACTCTCCCTATAGTATAGGCGCCTCACTCTAATATCGCCTATTGACGGGTCAAAACCAGGGCAATCTCTTCGACATAGCATCAGTGTCTCAAGTTCCCGCATATGAAAGAGTTTTCCTAGTTATTCTCCTCTCCTTAAGTCGTTCGCTAGTCTTCCTTGGGACTCTTGCTTGAAGTCCCTCTAAGTCGAGTGAAGCGAGGGCTTATCCTAAGATAAGCTTTATTGGGCCAGGCGAAATGGCTTTAGCTGTCTGCTTTACTTACCGAAAGTAAGGTAGGCTGCTAGTCTATTCAACTCTTGTCCAGTCTATTCTTGTTAGAGTGTCCTCCAGAGACAAGCCTACCGGGAAAGAAAGCAAGCTAGTCCAGCAAGTCTATTTTTTTTATACCTTTCCCTACGGAAGGGGAACTCAAGTTGATATGTTGTTAGCTCTGGCTTGTTTGAGTTAAGGCTACCGTAGCTCGCCCCCTTATCGCCGCATTATCCTCTATACACCCGCTGAAGCGAACCCTCTTCTTTTGAAAGAGCCAAGCTAACAAGTAGAAGGGCAAGGACAAAAGCAAGAAACAGGGAAAGAGAGGCATTACCAGAAGAAAAGTAGTCCAACTCAATGTCTTACACACCAGTGGCATTTGAATGAAAGTAGTCAGTAAGTGGCCAATAATCTTTGAAGTTGGAGTAACCAGAAAAAGGCAGCTCATGGGAATTTATTTAAGTAAAAAAGATCCCTAGTGCCATATTTTTCGTCCTCTCGAAAGGAAACGAGTGACGAGAGGGTAGAAAAGAGAAAGATAGGCTCTTCTGTTGTCACAAGTCTTGTTGACTTAGCCAAGACTGAATGATGATTCGACGTTCTCTAGAGTCAGTATTCGTAGCGTGGACTGGTAGCATGCTAGAGGAAGAAGTGATGCCATTGAATCTCTAGTAAGCGCAGCTATTGAGCTGTTTCGCTCCTTGGCTACTGAATCAACCGAGAACGGAATACACTTGGGGGCATTTTTAGGTTGCTAGTCCTAGAAAGTCTGGGACTTAAGGAAGAGAATAGGCAGCTAGACTTTGCTTGCTTGCTTCCATTAGAAATCCTTTGTTTCAACCAACGAGTCCGGTATTTCGACAATAAATAAAAACGTATTCAATACTTCGGATGATAGCCTCCTCCTATTTGCTCAAAAGCTAAGAATCAATATCACTTTCTACGAGGGCTGGCATTTCGGAAGGAACAACAAAGCCAACACTTCTTTCCTTTATTCTCAACTCAATACGCAGGCTTACCGAAAGACCAGATGCAGAATAGCCGATATTGATTTAAAATAACTCCTCAATCGCCTTATAACTCGCTGAGAGATTGGGAAGCGTGACTATTCTGGAGTAAGAATTATCAAGAATAGTCAGAGGCTTATAACATTGAATAATTAATGTGATATAAAAGACAAAGCCCGCTAGAGAAAAGAAGGGACAGACATTTGATAAACTGTGGTCTGTAGCATCATTTCTGGGCGCTCGAGCATATTCCTTGCACTTAGTTATTTTTTACCATTAGACTGTTATTAAGAACCTCTAATGCCTTTTCTGATTTAGTTGTTGCTTTTATATATATATATATATATATATATATATATATATATATATATATATATATATATATACATGTTGAATTATTGGCAAGCGTACCCAAAATTATAAATCGTAATATAGTATTTCGATTAAATAAAAGTTGATCCCACGAGGAATAGTTTCAATGGAAATTCCCAATTATGTTTACTAAGTAGATTAAACAGATTGAGTTTTGCAAATAAGAGTTGAATTGAAATTAAATGACAAAGAATTGTAAATTGTTGAAAAAATATCAATTAAAGGTATTTAGGATTGACTTCCTTCCTTATCCCTCTTTTGTAATGGTTAAATCAATTAAGAACGTTAATTAACCTAATAATGTTGATGTCACCTACTCAAATCATTCATGTTGATTCCTCACACATGAAATTCATAAGAAAACCGAATAAATGTTGATTCCTCACACAATTAAGAGATTTTCCAGTATTAGGGTTAGGGTGTTAAGCAATTGATACATTCCATTCCTGACAATTAACGTAACAAATATTCTTACCGTGATCTAGGGTTCAAGATATATTTTTCAATCATACCCCAAACATCAAGAATAAATCATTTTAAAGCATAAGAATAACAATATCAAAGCATAGATTAATATCTCAAAATATCACTATGATACAAAAGAGTTCAAAGGAAGTGCAACGAATCCTAAGAGAATGAACTTAGTCATTCATGTTGGCCATTACAATGCTCTAATTGATGAAGAAGTGAAGAATTGATGAAGATTAGACAAAACTCTAACAGTAGTCGTGCCTCCTCCTCTCCAAGAATGTTTGCTTTCTCAAAACACATATTATCTTTTTATAAGAGAATTTGGGTCGGGTCTCGCATCATTCATTCGCTTAAGCGTTCTTCTTTCTTTCAATTTTTCTTCAATTACTTCACAATTATACTTCTTACTCTTATATCAAGGTATTCTCGAATTTATCCTATATTGGGAGAAAAATAGATTAGAATTAACAATAGTTAAGTGGTTTCATAACAATTCAAAGTATAGTTATATCAACTTTTTACCACTTAACAACTTCCCCCAACCTAGAATCTTGTTTGTCCCAGCAAAGTAGTTTTTCCAAAACAAAATCATCGCCTATTATTATTTTCTCTTCCAGAACCACAACATAAAAATTTTCAGAGGTGATGCTCACAACTTTAAATGAAAATAGAACACATAAGCATTCAAGTTATAGAAACCAACAAAGAATAATTAGTCTTCAACTATCCTCAAAGAAGCATGATCTCTCAAAAAAAGTTATATATACTCATATCTAATTCTCACAGGTAAGTGTTTATCTCATTCAATCACTTCATTTAGACAATCCAATATTGATAATCATTTTCAAGCAATCAACATTTGTTAAGCAAGACTTAAATTAAAAGGTCTTTTGAGACTTGTAATGGGACTGAGCTAAGAAAGAATTATTGGTTTTTCTGGGATATACAAAAATATTTGAGAAATTTAACTCATATGAATGATTCTTGATTAACAATTCCTCAAGTCAGGTTTCAAACTTCATGCGTTTGTCCCTAACATAATGATAGTGAGTTAATGATCTCACAAGTTATTATTCCCCCCTTGAACTGCTTTTCTATTTTTTTTTCTCATGCTTTTGCATGTATTCTTTTTGGCTTTGCTAATTTTTAAGCTTTGTTTTTCCTTTTTCTTTACACCTTTTTTTTTTAAGAATAACACCCTAATAATACTTATAGGACAACAGTAGCAATACCTAACAATAAGAAAAATAGTGACATTCATACTCATTTCCTTTCTCAAATATAAGAAGGTAGATAAATAGTGTTTAGACTTAAGGGTTCTGTTTAAGAAACACTATTATTTTTTGCTCAGAAGGGGTTCAAATGGATGTCTTATAATTAGGGTTGGCTATTTGGCTTTGGGTCAAATCTACTACAAAGAAAAAATGTCTTTATCATTTTCAAGTCTTGCCAACATGTAATCACATCAAAGAATCAACCAATATTAGTTATCAATCACAAAGTGTTGACACTCAATTTATCTGTTTTTGGTACTCTACTCACCTGGATTTTGGCTAGCTTCTCCAATTCAGTTAATTCCTAATTCTCCTCATCAATTCCTTTTCACTATCATACTCATCATCCCAAAATCACTTGTTATTGGAAACAATCAAAATGGTTTTCTTCAGTTCCATATTTGAATTGGACAATAAACAATAATCTCATATATGGTTCTAAACAATTTATATGGGACAGTAAGGGAATTTAAAATTTAAAATAAAGCAATTAAAAATATTAAATTAAAAACAAAGGAATTAAAAACATTAAAAAAAAAGTAAATTTTCTCCCTCATTTTCTTCACTTGTCATCTACTTCTTATCTTGTGCATCAGCCTCAGCTGCAGACTTTCTCATCTCCGGAAAAGTTAGACTGTCCCCAGGCCATTGAAGTAAGACTTCAAAGTCTTAAGGAGAAGTTCACTGTGTACCTGGAGCAATCTTGCAAAGAAAGAACCTAAGGAAGAAAAATACACCAAAAACTTAAACTGCAAAAAGAAAAAAAAACAAATTCAAAACATTGGGTTGTCTCCCAAGAGTGCTTGTTTAGCGTCTTCAGCTCGACGCCTATTTGCTTTAGGGCTCATGCAGGTGAGTGATCAAGGTGATATATACGCATTCTCCATCCCTTAACTGTCCTTGTGGAAATGAATTTATTCTTTTTATTGTGAATAACCTTACGACTGTCAGAGATTGGATAAATCATACCTGTTTTAGGAGGTTTCAGTACCTTTCTTTGAACAACTTCCTTCTTAGTCAGATTGAGATGTTTTTGGGGTTGTGCAACAGACTTGTAATCTTGTTTTTCAGTTGATATGGGTAATTCCTCCAAAGTATTTATTATGAGGCAATCTTTCTTATCTTCCGGTTGTTGTACAGCTTCAAACAGATTAAAATTAACTACATCATCTTCATTTCTAATTTTTAACTTGTCCATGTCAACATCTATAATTACTTTGGCAGTCTTCATAAATGGCCTTCCCAGGATCAATGGGACTTCCTCATTTTCCTCCATGTTCATAATCACAAAATCAACAGGAAATATGAATTTATTCATTCTAATTAAAACATCTTCTTCTACTCCATAAGGAATCTTTAGAGATCTGTCAGCTAGCTGCAATGTCATTCTTGTAGGCTTTACTTCCAAGTCTCCTATTCTTTTAAGCATAGACAAAGACATTAGATTTATACTAGCACCCAAATCGAGTAATGTCTTACCTACTTGTAATGTTCCAATTATGACTGCAATAGTGAAACTGCCAGGATCCTTGGACTTTTGAGGTAATGATTTCTGAATTATAGCATTGCATCCTGCTTCTAGCTCCATTGTTTCTGTAGTAAATCTCCTTTTCTTAATTAACAACTCTTACATGAATTTTGCATAAATCGGCATCTGCTCCATAGCTTCCATAAATGGAATATTAATTTGTAAATGCTTGAAAATATCCATAAATCTTGTGAATTGTCTTTCTTTATCTATCTGTGAGGGAACCTTGGGATATTGTAACTTCTCTACAATTGTTTTTTTACTCTCTCCTTTTTCTATCTTTTATTTTTTCTCTCCCTCTTCGTTTTTCTTATTAGGGATATGTCTTTCTTTATTATGCTCCTCTTCTTGCTTTTCATCTTCTTTTACCAAAATTTCTTCTTCAACAACTATATTGTCACCAATCCCCTTACCTACAACTTTTTCACTCCTTGTAGTTATTGAATTGCATTGCTCCCTGGGGTTGGTTTGTGTGTTAGCTGAAAATTGTCCTCCTTGTTGCTGCTCAGATAATTGCTTAGCCAGTTGACCTATCTGGGTCTCTATATTTCTGAATGAAGCTTCAGTATTTTTTTGATTAGTCATAGTGCATTGCATGAATTTTTCTAAAGTATCCTCAGTATTTTTCTAA